ATGAGGCCTCTTATACTAGGGGCCTGGATACTTAAATTCGGGTTGTGGGGTATACTACAACAAGCAGACCTGGGCCCCTATATTGTCCAGCGCGTCATGGAAACAACGGACATGTACTGGCTAAGGTTGCTGTACATGGGGTCTTTTTGGGTTTAGGGTTTAGGGCATGGAGAATTACCAATAGTATTCCTTAGCCCTGCTTGATTCAGTTCTACTACCATATACCACAACACCTCGCAGCCCTATTCTGATGCTTAAGGCCCCCTAAACCCTAAACCCTCCTTAAAGAACGTGTAATGCGCACCGTGTTAAAGCTCCCAGAGCCCGATAGCTCCGGGTGCATGCCTTCTGGTGCGCAGCCTCCAGGACAACCAGCAACCTCGGGGTGTTTAGGGTTTAGGGTCTACCGATTTAGGTGATTTTTCGGAAAGTGTTAGGGCTTAGGATGTTTTTTGGATGTTTGGGTTTGGTTTGCCTCTTGTTGGAAAAAGGGTTGAGCTTCGAGTCCAGGCTTGGAAAACCGTCGTGACAGGATACACAACAGAATTGAAAACACATCGAGGTTTCAGTGAAAGCAAACTTTGTCTACACGGCTTTTTGGCATGCGTTGCTAGAGGCTTGGGTGTGGTCGCGGATTTCATGGTAACCAATCCCTTGCGAATCTAATGTAGGACCCCCCCTCTTAAAAATTAGAATAGGGCTTCGGGCTCCTTTATAGTACAGCTAGGGAAAGGCGCCGCAAGGAATCATGTTGGTAAGTTTTAGGCTTCAATCTTAAATTCAGGCTTCTATATCAGATCGTTCCGAGCTTGTGCTTCAGGATTTCCAGTCCTTGGGCCTGGTGGTTGGTTTAGACCTTGGGGTTGTCAGGGCCTTTTCCTTTTTAAGAGGTGTTGGGACTTTCTCCACTGCAGCAAGTCCAGTTTCAGGGCTTTCAGGGTTTAGGGTTTAGGACTTAAGCTTGTGGACTCGTCGAAGAAACTGACCTTCGGACTTAGGACGACGAGCTATTGGATTCTGTGGGTGCTGCAAAGTGGCGACGCAGCATGGCGCACGTCGTGCGGCGAGAAGAAGGTGTAGACGTGCGTGCGGCTGGGCAGCAGGAATGATCACCACAAGCATATTCAGAGTCATGAGATTTACGAGAAGTACCGAAAATTGTGATGATGCTCACAGAAAAGAGCCAGCACAGACACGATAGCGGTCAGATTTGCGATAATAAGCAGAGCAAGCATGACAACCAAAAGATCCAGAGAGCAAGAATGGTACTAGCAACTTTAATTGTACTGGGGACATATTTGTAGCAAGACTCATAGGGACATCTGGTGGTCGTCCCGCGCGTCGTGGCAGCAGAAACAGCATTAGTGGTGGTAGTCGTCCTGGTGATCGTCGTAGCAGGAGAAAGAGGCTGAAGTTGTTATCCACAGACAATAGCTGTCAGCGCTGTCGTCCTCAGCATCGTCAACATCATCATGAATCATCATCATCATCATCATCATCAGCACCATCATTTCCATCATCATCATCATCTTCTTCTTCATCCTCATCGTCATCGTCCTCATCAGACCCTCACTCTGAAAGAACGTCCAGCACACCTGGCTACTCGGCTCGCTGCGTTTTCCCAACAGCTCGGTCCCTCCGAAGACTGGGAAACAAACTCCGTGGATCTGTGGAGCTGCGCCAGTCGGGAAACTCGAAGGAGTTGCAGTGATGACACTTGAAAGAAAAGCCTGAAGTTAGAGCGATGCCCCATCTATTGCCTTCCCTCCATGTCGCTGCCGCTCTAGTTGTCCAGGATATCGTGCTCAGTGCCGTACACACAAAACCCTAAACCCAGAACGTTTAGGGTTTGCTCGTAGCCAAGGTTTTTGCCTGTCGACTTTACCGTGAAAGCATCGGCTACCCCAGAGAAGATGGGTTTTGGGTGTACGGTTTTGTTTAGGGTCGGGGCTTAGCGTGTCGGGTTTAGAACTAGAGTTTAAGGTTGAGGGTTTGGGGTTGTACTTGCTTGGAGAGAATTAGAATCAGGCCCTAAACCCTTAAACCCTCAACCCCTAAACCCCTACACCCTAACCCCTTAAACCGCGTAAACCCCTAAACCCTAAACCCCTGAACCCCTAAACCCCTAAACCCCTAAACCCCTAAACCCCTAAACCCCTAAACCCCTAAACCCCTAAACCCCCAAACCCCTAAACCCCTAAACCCTAAACCCCTAACCCCTCAACCCTGAATCGCTTCAGCACAGGGCCTGTCTGCACGCTTCTGTATGCGGTAGAGGTAGAGCCTCGGGGTGTACCATAGCTTGGATACTGCCCCCACTAAGGAACAGTTGAATCAAAAGTATAGTATATGTAAATATATAATGTATATGTACAAAACTCGATATGTGTATATATATATATATGTATACTATAATATAGTATGAATATATATATATATATATATATATGTATATATGTATGTATATATATATGTATATTATGTGTATGTGTATGTGGATGTGTATATATATATACATATTATTTCTAATGTGTATGTATACATGTGTATATATATAACTTAATATACATATATAATGTGTATATAATGTGTATATAATGTGTATATAATGTGTATATAATAAGTAATATATATATATATATATATATATATATATATAGGTATATAAGGCCCTGAGTCGTAGCCCTATATAGTCAGTCGTGGGAGCTTGTTTTTTGCATGATGTGGTTCCCTTTAGGGTTTTTCGGTTTGGGGTTTGCGGCTTTTCGCATGGGGCTGTCGGCACGTTTAAGAGTTCGTTCTACAAGTCTACGGCAACATACTCGAGTGGGTTCCCTCAGGTTGTGCCGGAGTGCAAAGCCAAGCCCACACCCTGACATCCCACTTACAGTAAGAAGACATCCGGATGCATTGATGCACCCTAAAGCCCCTCAACCCACAACATCCTGAAGCCCCGAAACCCTGCAAATTTTAAAACCCGAAGCCCCGCAAACCCTAAACTCTGAACCATACTTTCAATTCGAATCCTGCCGGGGAGCTGGAGGGTCATGGGGAAGTCGTAGTTGACAAGCACCGGGGCCGCCTGCAGAGCTCTTGTTTGCAGCTGGCAGGATTCCTCGACTCGATGAGGACCTTAGGGGGTCGGGGGACTCAGCTATCATAACCCCAATCAGGATCCCTGAAAAGGTACTTATAAGTCTGCTCATTATCTGCTTACTCAGTCTCCCGACCCTCCAAGTGGGGGTTTTGAGGGCTCAAGGTTCGGGTTGGGGTTTAGGGGTTAAGGTGCTCAGGGACTAGAAGTTGATGCCTATCACTGCGCGGCAAGTCATGGAGGAGTTGCCCCAGAACCACCTAAGCCTTGTTTCAAGTTAACGGAAGGGACCTTAACAAATGGGCAACGTAGACTAACCTTTCCAAAAAGCTTTACACACTCCTGCAAACCCTATAAGAGCCATGTAAACCCATTTCAAGCCCATATAAACCCCACCCAATGGTCCTCAACCCTACTTAAAGGCTCATGGGACTTAGTAAGTAAGGTTATAGGTAGGTTATAATCAGGATAACCCGACTTGGGGGACTTATAAACCCAGTTATAGCCTACTAAGTCCCATGATCCTCTAAGTTCCCTAAACTCCCCCTTATAGAACCCTTATAGACTTATAGATCCCTTAAAAAAGGAATCCTTTAAAGGAACCCTAGGGTTTCTTACTAAGTCCCATGATCCTCGTCAAGCGCTCCAGCGCTCCGGGCCCTCCGAGCCTTGCCAAAGTCGAAATCCCTCCTCGCCGAGACGTCGGTTGTCATCAGGAGCATGGACACCTGTCCCTGAGAGTGCCAGGGCTTAGAGTTTGGGGTTTAGGTTTTAGCGTTTAGGGTTTTGATAGGGGAACCCAAAAGGAAAAAGGGCAAAAGGGCACTACTCAAGAACCTAGGGTTTAGGGTCTAAAAAGGGTGCCCTTTTGGCTTTCAAGGGGCTTCTAAGGGAACCTGAACCCTAATTAAAGGGAATAAGGGCCTACTCTAGGTCCTACGTAGTAGGGTTTGGGGTCTGGGGTCCAGGGTTTGGTAAACCCTAAACCCTAAACCGTGCCAGTCTTTTACTGCAGCTTCGGGTTCAGGGACGGGCTTACCTGAAGGAGTTGCAAGTATGTTTAAATGGCTAGGCTATGAGAATGACCGCTTTTAGGTTACCTATAAGAACCGCCAGAAAAAAGTATTCAAAAAATGAAAACTAAAGTCTGAGCTGCACCTCGAAGTGAAGAGAAAGGCTGGGGGCGCGACCATCTGAAAGCTTCGGAGGCTTTGGATGCCTAGGCTGTGCAGTCCCTGGTCCAGGGACCTTGATAATTAGACTAGGGTTTGGGGGGCCTATTATCCTACAATTATAAGAAGGTCCCTTCAAAATAGTATAGGTACTTATTAAGGCAGCTATATTAGAGTTTGTGTGTGGGTTCAGTGCATAGGGCATGAAGGCCCTAACTTCTCTCAGATACATCATAAAGCTGCACACAGCGGGCGCGAAACCCTCAGACACGAATATGCTACCTCTACACCCGAGAGTAACCTAGGAATAAAAAGGGTGCCCGTTTTGGTTTGAAGGGGCTTAGAAGGGAGCCTGAACCCTCAAAAAAGGGAATAAGGGCCTACTCTGGGTCCTAGACCTTGAGGGAAACCTAGGAGACGCACCTGGAGGGATGTGAGCTTTCGGGCGTCTGGGGCTGCGGGGTTGCCGGGATTGGGGAAATGGATTGTCGTATGAGTTTACCTAAGCTGTTCAGTAACCCACTGGGAACAAGTATTTACTTTTTTTAGGCTTCTTGTTTGAAAAAAGGAACCCAGAAACCTCAAAGTAAAAAAGTGCACCAATGAACAGCCTGATGACACATGATGACAGTCGCAACGGTGATTGAAAGACTAACATCACAGTAGTGAAATACTACACATCTACAGCAAATAACGACAACCCCTTCTGGGGTTAACGACAGCAGGATGCCTATCTATGCAGCGATGGCATCTGTCACTTTTCCGCCCTCCTCGCGCTCGCGGGCCCACACAGCACGCATCTCGGCAGGGTTTGCAAAGCCCAGGCGGTGCTGCACAATGCACTTCCACCTGTTGGCCGGGAAGTGCTGACATGGGGAGATATTGCTGAAAAGGGTGCCTTTATGAAGGGTCCAACATGGGGTCTCTCCACTGGCTCTGCATGTGTGGCTTTCGTGTGGTCTTGAGGGACCTATAATGGGGTCTACAAGGTTTTAGAAATCGTGTTTGGTTTAGGCTTCGGCAGGTTTTAGAGTTCGTGTTTGGTTTATGCTTCGGCAAACCTCATGAGCGCTGTAGCTTACGCGGCTATCCAAACTAAACCCTGAACCCCTAAAACCCCAAGGTCTACGCCTCCCAGCAGACTTTGATTGCGGCTGTAGAGGTTTATGCATCCTACAGCGGCAGAAACGCGTTGAGGGTTGGGTGGTTGGTCTCGGTGACGATGGGTCTGCCTATGACCGACAGTGAGATGGTTGCTTAAAGGATCATGGGACTTAGTAAGTAGGTTATAATTGGGGTTGTCCCCTGAGCAGTAGACCCTAAACCCCTAAAGCCTTATTATAGAACCCTACAGTACCCTTAGAAGGGAACCCTAAACCTTACTAAGTCCCGTGAGCCTTTAAGTGGACCCTAAACCCTGAACCCCTCTTATAGAGCCCCTATAGTACCCTTTAAAGGGAACCCTAAGCCCTTACTTACTAAGTCCCATGAGCCTTCGCTTTTGGGACCCACAAAGCCGAGCACGGAGGCTCAACTTCGCTCCAAAGCTGGGCTCTGCATGCCAGGCTTCAAAGTACCTACCTTGACCCTTTATGGAACCTACCTTTTTGGGGTTCCCTAATATGATTTCTTTATATAAGTCCTGAAAAAGGTAGGTTACTTGGGGTTAGGTAGTTCATGGTTGGGATAGGATTAAACATTCAAGTATCCTACTAGTTAGGGTACTATATTAGGGTATTTATGGTTGGGATAGGATTAAAAGTCTAAATGTCTATTCCTTATTGGGTTTAAGTACCCATAAACATGTATAATGTTACTCAACTATGACAAAGGTACTTCGCGGGCTTCGGACATCTTCAAGTCCCCCTTTTAAACCCCGTATAAAACTCGATAAACCCTTGAGAAGTTTATCACACTCTTACAAGATCCCTTTGAAACCTGAGTTAAACCCGACTAGAACCCGAATAAAACCAAGTGAAACTTCAATTTAACCGAACCCTTATGAAACCGTACCTAAACCCTTATTAAACCCTTACAGACCCCTGCCTCCAGTCAATCCAGCTCTGGACAGAGTCCGGCAGGAGCACGGCGCCTTTGCGACGAGATCACCGGTTGACAACGCTGTCTAGGGCCTAGGGTTTTTGTTTTTGCTGTGTAGGATGTAGGGTGTAGGGTAGAAGGTTTAAGGTTTGAAGTTTAAGGTTGAGGGTTTGAAGTTCAAGGATTAGGGCTTGAAGGTTTAAGGCCAGGTTTTTTTTGAAGATTAGGGTTTCGGGTTTGGAGTTTAGGGTTAGGATTTAGGGCTTAGGGGATGTAGCACTGGAACTTGTTCGACCTCAGCAGGGAGACTCCTAAGCAGTGAACGCCAAGAAGCTACAACGCTGGTTCTCATCCTACGAGCTAGATGATCGGCAACAGCAGCGACTGCTTGAAACCGTTACGCACACGTATACTTATGTCTTTGTTTATACGTATGTATGTACATAAATACATATATATATATATATATGTGTGTGTGTGTGTATTTACTTATTTAGGAAAATTACAGCACGCGCTTATACTTCTATTACTTTTATTTATTTGTCTATCTGCCATTCTCTTTATGTAGGCTCTATCTATCTATTTATCCTAAACCCTAAACCCTAAACCCTAGTTTGGTATCTATCTATCTATCTATCTATCTATCGCTGCCCCCAGCCTTGCCCCGACCTGCCACCGCCATGGCGCACTTTGCCGGTGAGGGGCCGCGAACGGCGGAGCCCTGTCGAAAACAGCTGAGGGTTCACCAGGTTTTTCGGGTTTAGGGTTTAAGGCTTAAGTTTTCTTTTAGTGTTTAGGGTTTAAGGCTTAGGTTTTTTTCAGGGTTTAGGGCTTAAGGCTTAGGTTTTTTTAGGGTAGTTTAGGGCTTGGCGTATAGGGCGGTTCCCTAGATGTAGAACGGTCAGTGACGTTGGGCTTCTTGGCACCGGAATCATGCGGTTCAAGTTCCATGAGCTTTTGCAAAAGCAAATAGGGGTCTGGGGCTGAAGGCCTGCATCGGGCGGGGCTGCTAGTTTCTGTAGCTTTCCGCAGCAAGCAGTTTTGAAAATGTCTTTGGGTCGAGGATGTGTGAAAGTGGAGTTTGGCAGCGGTATCACAACTACAACTTTCGGGTGCGGGGGATCCAATATGCATGTTGAAGTCTCGCGGCGGGTAAGCCTTTTGTGTTTCTAGCTTTCATTGCGCTAGTGAACCTCCATGTAGTTCTGCTCTTCCAGCTTCCTGCTGTGGGTGTCGCAACTACTTTGCGGAGTTGGGTACCCAGAGACTCGAATATCCCTAATTAAGGAATATTCATTAAATCATATTCCTAATTTTCGAAAACTCCAAACCCTTATACAGCCCTTTCAAGGAAACCTTATCTTACCCTTTAGTAACCTTTTAAAGGAACCCTAAAGTACCCCTAATTTTCGGAAACTCTCATAAAACCCTAAACCCTAAATTCCCACCAAGGCCTGCTTAGGCCGTGGGCCGTACCCACCCTTTCTCTTAGTAAACCCTAGACCTACTTAAAGGCTCATGGGACTTAGCAAGTAGGGTTACAAGTAGGTTATAATTAGGAAAACCCGACTCAGGGGACTTATAACCCCAATTATAACCTACTTACTAAGTCCCATGATCCTTTAAGTATATTCATGCCCGCAACAACTGGAAGAGGCGCGCCCGGCCTCTGAGGCGATCGATCTCCTGGACCTTAAAGGAACCCCCAAGATAGTATAGGTGATTATTTCGGCCCTACACCATAGAACCCTACTATAGATCCCCTATAGATCCCTGTAAGGAGCCCTCTAAAGGAACCCTATTCTATTTATTTCGGCCCCGCTAGTATGTCCCAGAGCCTCAGGGACCCTGAACCCTACACCGTAAACCCCAGACCCTTCATCCCTGGGTTGAGGGCTCATACTCAGAGGATCATGGGACCTAGTAACTAGGGTTCCTTAAAGGGTTCCTTTAAGGGATCTTGGAGGGTTCTATACGGGGGAGGCTATAGTGAGGAACCCTAAGGACTAACATTATCGATAATTCGGTGCTTGGGGCCAACCGCAAATAGTCAATAGCCACATGGTGGTGCGAGGCTTGTGCAAGCGTTTGCCGGTTCTGGCATACCGGAAGCTACTTAAAGGATCATGGGACTTAGTAAGTAGGTTATAATTGGGGTTATAAGTCCCCTAAGTGGGGTTATCCCTATTATAACCTACTTATAACCTTAGTTACTAAGTCCCTCGAGCCTTCAAGTAGGGTGCTGCGAAGCCCTCTAAAGCCCTTGTTCCTGCCGCCTCCAAGCCTGGATCCTCAGCAACCTGCCCTCGGGCTTTGCGCAATCACATGCTTCGTTCCTTGTCAAATTTTGGGGCCTCCCTACACCCTAAACCGCCATGAACTTTGAGTTCCATGTTTGAGGCATCGATTTGTGGGGCTTAGGCTCTGAGAGTTCTAGACCTAAACCTCAGACCCGGTCAGAGTGTGTGTCTTTTGCTGCGGGTGCGCGAGCTCGTTGGTTTTTTCTGCTGTGACTGCGGGGCGCCTTTCTGCGGGGATTTGTTTGCTGCCCAGAACAACAACCAAACGCCAGCCCGCGCACCCAAAGCAAAAAAAGAGCACCCCAGTGCAGTCAAAGAAAAGACGGCCCCACACCCCCCAGCGCAAGAAGAAAAGCTGCGCCGCACCCACAGCAAACAAACACCCGCGACCAAAAAACGCAGCCAAAGACTATGGCGCGAATTTTTGCTAAAGGGAGATGCGCCAAGTTCGCTCACACACGTGCTGGCGCACAGCCCTGGAGCCCTCGCGGCAAAACAGCACCTGCAACAAAAATTCGAGTTCCCCCTAAACCCCAAACCCTAAACCCCTAACCCTAAACCCCAAACCCTAAACCCCAAACCCCTAAACCCCAAACCCTAAACCCCAAACCCCAAAACCCCAAACCCTAAACGCGAACCCCCTCAACTTGATAAGCAGACCCAGGCCGAGCTGCGATCTTGTGATCGTCGAACTTGGAATGATTCTCCGGCCTAGTCAGTGCCGATTTTTTTGTGAAACGTACATAAATACGTAAGAAACCAAAAACATGCTTAGTTAAAGGATTACAGGTAAAGAAGTAAATGAACGGATAAATAAACAAACAAATAAACACATAACAAGGCACACAAACAAACGCATAAAGAGATGACGTGCAGACCGAAAAATAAGAAGACGCTATTAAGCGCCTAAATACAGAACACAAGTACATGGATACACTGATACATAGATACATGCGAAGATGAAAAACATATGTATTTGTATACATGCACGAACACAACAAATTCACGGCATTGTAAAACCTGAACTGCGTACTGTCCGGCAAGTCTTTAAAGCACTGAATAAACTTTGAGCCCTCAACTTCTGAACCCTAAACCCCTCAACTCCTGAACTCTAAGCCCTCAACTTCTAATCCTACACTCCCAACTCCAAAACCCTGAACTCTCGACTGCTAAACCCCAAACCCTGAGCAAGTCTCTGAAAGGCGTGCCTGGACATGAACTCGTGGCTGCTTTGCGCCGCGACCGTGGATGCCAAACCGGGATCCTGAAACCACCAACCTAATGTAGCGGCCACCGTTCACCATACTTTGAATAGGATTTTGGCGCATAGTCTTGGAGACTTATATAGGACCCCGAAAACACCCACTTATTCGAACAGTTTAGGGGCCTTGAGTACAACAAGGCTTTGCTGTACTTGTATGGTATATTCAATATGTTGCTTCAAGATCACTGACAAGGGATACCATTGCCGATTATTCTGACCCGATATGAACTATAGCAAGCACCCAAAGTTGTCTGGGACACCCTTGTCCTTTTAGAAACAATAGACAGAGCCCTATACCTATATCCCTTAGTAGGAATTACTTAAGAAGGTCTACTAGCCGGTCTGTTTATTCTTTTGGGGGAATTATGAAAATGGACAAGGATCCAGTCCTCCTCAAGATCCAAGAAGCGCTGGAGGCGACGGACCTGTGCCCCCGCAAAAAAAACAGAAGCGCGCAGGCCTAAACCCCGAACCCAAAACGCAAACCCTACACCCTAAGCATGTCTTCTTCCACAACCGGGTCAAAACAGCTCTGACCTTGCAATCTAGACCAGATACAAAAGTTTAAAGTTAACCCACGGACCATCTAAGAAACCCTAAACCAGCAAACCGCCTGGACAAGGGTTTACGGTTTACTGGACGTTGAAGTAACCAGGGAGAAAAAAGTAATGATTTTTATTTCATAATGGTTCCGTTCAGGAACAGGTACCAAAAAAAGTACGTTTCTTTCATAATGGTTCCGTCAAGGAAGGTTAAGGAACAGGTAGCAAAAAAAGTATTCAAGCACGGTACTCCAAACCCAGGTTTGGTGGTTTTGGGGGGCCATTGACGAGGCACAAGTACTGGCAAGTACTTGGGCCCAAAATTCTTAACCCCCAAACCCCATTTGCTGGTGCCTGCCCTGACCGAAAGAGTCTGCCACGAACGCCGGGTTCAGGGGTTTAAGGCTTTACAGGGGTTTTCTGGGCGTCAAGTGGCACATTCGAAGCGATCTTCCAACAGGTCGTCGAAAAAAAGGAGGCACACCTGGAATGGATTAGGGCTAACGCTTCAGGGTTTTTTTGCTACAGGGTTTAGAGTTTAGACTTTTGTTGTCTAGGGCTTGCGCTTAGGAACTAAGGTTTAGGGTTTTAGATTTATGTACTTTAGTTGGGTTCTCGAAGCTTCAGCAAACCCCAGACCCCAAACCCTCGAGCCCCAAACCCCGCAACCTGAGTTCTCACGTTGCGTGCTGCATTCGGATCAACACTCTTACCCTTAAAGGGCTCCTAAACCCTGAACTCGAAAGCCCCTCGGCCCTCCCTGAGAGCCCAATACCCCTTAATTAAGGGATATGCTTTAAACGATAAGCGGCTTCATATTCCTATACGGGTACAAAAGGGCCATTAAGGAATACTTAAATGATAAGGGGCTGAATATTATGATTTAAGCTATCTTCCTTAATTGAGGGTTGTTGGGCTCTCTGGGCTCGTCCGCCATCTCCCCTAAGCGCGAAGGAGGAAGGCCTGTGGGTCGTGGCGATGCTCCCACCAGTCGCAGAGGTCCTCTACTTGACAGAGGGGAACGTAGCATGTCCCCGACAAAAACGCAGCATGTCCCGACAAAACCTGTGGACTCTAGGCTCCATAGTAGTTCCTTTTTGGGGGCTCATATTGAGAATCTTATCAGGTAATCCCAAAAAAGAACTGCTATCGAGCCTCTGGGTAATGTAGACCCCAGGCTGCACAAAGCATAGGAAGGAGGCAGCGCAATCGAACTACATCGAACTTCTTTGCCCACTGCCTGCAGACTCAGACCGGCCACTTGGGAGTTCACGGGGTTGGTTGCTCTTCTTCAATCACCGGGCCCAAAAAGTTTAAACTTTCGAAGATCGACCAAATATATCAGGCAAAGTTCTCCCATTGGCTATCTAAGAAACCCTAAACCCCTAAACCCCTAACCCCTAAACCTGCACGGGTTTCTTGCGGGTTCACTTCTGACGCAATCCCTGTTTCAGGAAAACTCTGCAGGGCTCCAGGCCTGCTGTAAGAGGCAGAAGGCATCTTCATCTTCATCATCTTAGAGGCCGAGTAGCCTACTTGGAGGATCATGGGACTTAGTAAGTAGGTTATAACTGGGGTTATAAGTCCCCTAAGTGGGGTTATCCTAATTGTAACCTACTTATAACCCTGCTTACTAAGTCCCATGAGCCTTTAAGTAGAGGCCGAGTAGCCTAGCCCAACAAGGGTACTCTTTTCAACTATGGTAGGATTATATCAACCCCGAAAAGGTTAAAGGTTACCTACCCAGTTACTAAGTCATCAAAACCAGCATCATCACCATCAACAGCACCACAATCCTCCACGCTCATGATCAACAGCATCACCACCACCCTCATAACCCATATAACCCTTAAGCAATACCTCTGAACTCTCAACCCTCAACCCGAGAAACCCATACAACCCTCATTATAGCCTTTACTCATCATCATCAGCGGGGAGGCCGTTGGGTGTGTCTTTCTGGCCGTTCCCACTCCTTCAGGGCTCGATCGACACCGCCAGGCACCACCCGCCTGCGGCTTAGGGTCAAGGGTTTTTAGGGTTTACCTTAACCCCAAGTAACCCCCCTCTTTAAACAAAGAAGTCATATTAGGGAACCCTGAAAAGGTAGGTTCCTGAGGGTCCAAGTAGGCTTTAGCTTTTTTTAAATGGGCCCTTTTCGAACTGCAGAACAGTTAGAATTCCTATACTCGGTAGGGTTTAGGGACATCCTGAATGCGAAGGTCTCAGAGTCTCGGAAGCGAGACCACGATCGATCCCTGCAAGTATCGAGAAACCGTCCCTGCAGAAACCAAAAGAACCTGCCCGGATCCCTTCTCAAAGCTACAATACTGTAGGGGCCTTAATAATGAGAATAGGGTTTTGCGGCCCATCATACTATAGTTATAATAAGGAACCCCCAAAATGGTATAGGTGATTATTTAGGCTCCTGTAGTACAAGAAACACTTCATGTTAGTGTCACCCTGGCTGTAGCAATCTGTTGTGGGCTGCGTGGCAGGGGTTGTGATTGCACACTTCTCACCTCTGAAAAGGAAAGTCTTAAGATGGCAAGATTCTTGGGATTCTTGGGGCCTTGTTACATGGCATAGATATTCAAGGCTCAGGACACAGCTGAAATGGTTTGAAGAGCAAGCTAGGTTCCATGTTCGGCTTTCGGCTGTACTGCAACAGGTGCACATGATGAAGTGGCACTGAGAGTCTGGAATTGGAACGTTTCTTTGCAGAAGGCCGGCAGATTTCCTTCACACGCCGGACCTCTCCGCCCACTGTGCACAGCGGAAGAACGGTGTTCTGTCTACGCCATAAAGGAATTTCGGGAAATCGCTCCTAAACTGGGTATTCACCCTTTTCTGATTTGGGCCCTCTTGTCTGATGCTCCCAAGTCCCCTATCTGAAATCTTCGTCTAGCACTACCCAGTGAGCCCAATGCCTTTCACTTCATAGACCTTAAATCACAAGGGGACATCACATTGTGACTTAAGCTCTAGGGGTATTGGCCCACTTGGGTAGTTCTTACTATCTTAACTGGAACTTGAAGTAACCAGGATAAAAAAAAAAAGTAATGACTTCTATTTCATCATGGTTCCATTAAGGAACAGGTGCAAAAAAAAGCATTCGAGTATGGTACTCCAAACCCAGGTGCCATCTTACCTAGGATACCCAGTAACCTAAGAAAAAAAAGGCCTCTCTTTTTGGTATTGGGTAACTTTATAAGGAACCTAGGACTACAAAAAGGGAATACGGGTACTACTGGGCATCCTAGAAAAGGAACCCCACAGGAACGAAAGCCTTCAACCCCGAAACCCGAAGGTATCCTGAGTATCCTTAACAGAATTATCTTACTTTAAGCATGAGAAGATTAAGGTCCTGCCAAGGTGCATGAAGGCATAGGAATCCTGCCAGTGGGACGTTATCGGCTTCGAGGCAAACTTGGGCCTAAGCCTCAATCCTGTCAAGGGTCCATGTGCTTCTGCTAGGGTTTAAGGTGTAGGGTTTCGGGTTAACGTAGCATACACTTAAAGGCGTTCCTCGATAGGAGGCACCCTAAGGCCAAAGTATGTACAGGTAGGTACATGGACCCTCAGGGCCTCAGGGATTGCTTCTGTTGCCAGCTGCCGGTGTGGGCTTTCAGGGAATATTCCTCTGGCGCGAGCTGCAGAGATGCTGTCAGTGGGGAACTACTTAAAGGCTCATAGGACTTAGTAAGTTAGGTTAGAAGTAGATTATAATTAGGATAACCCCACTTAGGGGACTTATAACCCCAATTATAACCTACTTACTAAGTCCCATGATCCTTTAAGTAGGTGCGATTGGGAAAAGGGCAGGCTCCAGGGGTTTAAGAGTTTAAGGCTTAGGTTTTTAGGGTTTTTTTTTTTTTGAGGGTTTAGGGTTTAGGGTTTAACTGAGGATGAGGAGACAAGTCCGTGTCTGGGTTGAGGACAGGTCTCTCCTGTCGGAAAAATCATTCTCCATGCTCGCTTTCAGTTGGCACCCACGTTCCAGCATGTACCATAGCAGAAAATACTCAACAGGATCCCGTGAAGAGCCGTCAGATACTTCCCTCATGTGCTAGGCCGCTGCGCAGACTTGCAGGTTGTGTATATGGGCGGTTATAAATGGGGGTCCCCTTCAGAGTCCTTTGAAAAGGGTGCCGTACTATTTCCGTGACCTAAGAAGGGACCCTGATTTAGAGAGCTACCCATATGCTAGGAAATCTAGCTTGGCTGGGGCTCTGGTCCCAATGTTCAGTCTTGTCCAGCTCTGAGCTTGGTGACTGCACCTCAAGAAGCTTCCTGATGAATTACCTGTACTTGAAGGCTCATCGGACGAAGTAAGTAAGGCCACGTAGGTGATAATTCTGATAACCCTACTTTGGGCACGTATAACCCCAACTAAAACCTACTTACTTAAGTCCACTGAGCCCTTTAAGTAAGGAACGCATACCTCATTTACTCCGTGGGCCCAAAACCCTTAGACCCAAACCCTAAACCTCTAGACTCTAAATCCTAAACCCTTGACTTCTCACTTCTAAAACTTCCAGACCAAAACCCTTGAACTTCTAATTTTCTACACCAAAAACCCCTAATTTTATCGTCAGGTGTCCAGGGGCACGTCGGACTCCAGGATCGACGCGGTGAAGGCCCAGTCGCTAACCAGGACATCCTTTCCAGAAGAAGGAGTGGGGGCTTAAGGGCTCTTAAAAAAGCATTCCTAGGGTACTATAGAGCCATTAAGGAAAATGCCTTAAATGACAAGGGGCTTCGTACCTTGGTGGGTTTTTGAAAACCCTAAACCCTAAACCCAGAGACTCCAATATCCCTTAATGAGGAAATATACCATAAACTGAAATAGGATCCCTAGCATAATTTAAATGCGAAATATTCCCCTAATTAAGGGATATTGGAGTCTCTGGGAACCCTTAGCAGCCTGCGGCTCGCTCCAGTTTAGTTTGCCGGCGGCTTCCTGACCGCAACCTTCCGGGCCTTAAGAATCAGAACCGGGCTCCTTTAAAGGGGTCTATGAAGGCCACAAGGATTTAGTACAGGGACCTTAACAATTAGAATAGCCTTTTGGGGTATATTATGCTATAACCTACATCAGTGTCCCAAAACAGGGCTGCAGTGACCGGAGCCCCACGACCTTGCGTCCTCTGAAGACGGAGTAACAGTGATATCTCCGATAGCAGCTGACCAAATCTCCGACAAGCGCACATGGAATGTTCATGCGGCACTCCGCCTCACAATGCTAAACCCGAATCCCTGAAGGCATCTTGAACCCACAACCTCTTCCAACCCCAGCACCAGAGCCCGTTCGTCAACTCGCCTTGATGTCACGGAAGCAGTAGATTCTCTTCACATCTTCCTCCGGCCACGGGATCCAGCTCGGGGCTTGAGGGCCTAAGCTTTTGAGTTTACGGTCTGGGGGGGTGGGTTGCCTTGCGCTGCCGATACTGCTCCCAAACGAAAGAACTTGCATTTTGCGAAGTTCCACCAAGCAAGCGTGCAAGCAGATCGAGTGTCTAGACACGGGGTGGTTCCACAGAGAGCCCAATAGCCCTCAACTAGGGAAAAGAGATTAAACCATAGTATGAAGCCCTATGATTTAAGACACTGAGTTGAGGAGAATTGGGCTCGCTGGCGGCGGGGGTTCTTAAAGGCTCATGGGACCTAGTAAGTAGGGTTATAAGTTTGTTACAACCTGGATAACCCCACTTAGGGGACTTATGACCCCAATTATAACCTATATACTTACTACGTCCCATGATCCTCCAAGTAAACTGAACTCCCCCTTATAGAACCCTGATAGATCCCTGAAAGGAGCCCTTTAAGGAGCCCTATACTTAAGTGCCATGATCCTCTAAGTTGGCTCGGACAATTTGAAGGCCAACCAGGTTGAGGGATAGCTGGAAAGAGTCGGTTTCGGAGGATTTTCTCTTGGGGGATCGTGGGACTTAGTAAGTAAGGGTTCCTTTTAAGGCTACTATAGGGTTCTATAGTAGGGCTCCCTTTAAGGGTTTAGTGTTTCGGTTTAGTGTTTCGGGCTTCGAGGATCATACCTGCTCAGAGGCCCCTAGGCCCTAAACCCCAAACCCTAATCGCCAAAACCCTAAACCCTGAACCCTAAACCCAAATCCCGAAAACCCTAAACCCCCCTAATCCCGACCGAAACGCCTAAACTCTAAACCCTAGACGCCATACCCCAATTCCCCCTACCCAGAGACTCCAATGTCCCTTAATAAAGGAATAGTCTTTAAATCATTTTAAGGCGGATCCTACTATACTCTAAGGAATATTCCTTAATTAAGGGATATTGGAGTCTCTCGGTAAGCCGGGTTCTGGGGCCGAGATGCCGGACACGACCTGAAGCGCAGGTGTGACTTGAACAATCGCGGAGATGCCACCTCGCTGCTGCATCGGAAGGCTGAATTCGAGTTTAGGATGGAGGATCTAGGAACAATTGCCGGTTTAGGTTGGCGGCTTTGGATAAGGAGCACCTGGGACGTACGTAACATGGAGCCGCGAAAAACAACTTTGTAGGTTAAGCCCCTTTCCTCACGAAGCCTGCATCACAGTCTCAGTTTTTCGGGCTCATACGTATGCGAGAGAGATGACATGACACCAAATTCACAACCATGCAGAGAACTGCTCGCAGGAACCTTAACCCCAAGCCCCTGTAAAGCCCTACAGCCCTGTAGCCTGATGCAATAAACCTCGAACCACCAATGCCAAAGCCTAAACCCCTAAAGCCCTGAAGCAACAAACCCCGAACCACCAAAGCCTAAACCCCCAAAGCCCTGAAGCCCGTAAACACCAGCCGAATCTCCGAAGCGTCGCTTCGTGGCCGGCCTGGTCCTTGTTGATGTCGTTCTGGGGCAGCAAAGATGCAGGCCCGCCTCCCATTATAGGGATCTATAATAGTAGGGTTCTATAATAAAGGGGCCTTTGTACTTAGAACAGGGTTCGTTTAAAGAATGCCTTTAAAAGGTCTATAAGGGGTCTATAGTAGGATTCTATCGTAAAGGGGCCGTTATAATTAGAATGGGGTTTCGGGCTCCTTTGTAGTATAACTTTTGCAAGGAACCCTAAGTAATAGTTTTAAGAGTATAAGGAGCCGTAATAATTGAACTCGAGGTTTTCGATATGCTTAATGTCATCATTTCGGAAGTGTGAGTAATTGTATCAACGCCGAATTATATGGTTTCTATAACGGTGTCCATGGTGGCTTCGAAGTCTTCAGTTTTCGTGACACTGAGACTAGGATGTTTCACGGAACAAGCCGAGTAATCGTAAAAATTGTCCATATAAACCCAACACATCCCACTGACGGTTTCCTGCAAAAACTACCTGCAGCCTTTAAACAGACCCATCGAGTCCAAGTGAACCGTGAACCCGGGATCTTGACCGCCAAGCCCTTACACCACTACACCCCTCGACGCCTTACTTGCTAAACCCTCAACCCTGAAAACCTTAAAACCTAAACCGTACCCTGAATCCTGAGTCCCAAATTCTAGAAACTCAGCCGAGATGTTGCGCGGCCTTCAAGCTGGGGAATGATGTCCGTCTGGTCCTTCGCACCGAAATTTGGGGCTCTGGGTCTAAAGGTTTCGAATTCGGGTTTCGAATTTTAGTGGATTTGGAGTTTAACCTAAACCCTAAACCCCAAGGATTTTGTGGCGATTTCGGTGGTATTTCGAACACGGTCTAGGATTTTGCCCCCGCGCGGCAGTAACAAGGCCAGCATCGATGACAGTTTAATTAGTTCTACCAGCAACACGAATACTTACTACTCAACCCTCAACTCCAAACCCTAACCCCAAAAATTACTAAACCCCAGTAGATATCGTGTTCTGCTTCTGGGTGCCTGGGACACTTCCCGCTTAAAGGTCGGTGCGTGTTACTCACACATAGCTGCAACCCACTCTGCTTGACTCGGGCTTGCGGTTTAGGTTCAGGTTCAGGGTTTAGATTTAGCGCACTCTCCTTGATTCTCATGACTGCCACCTGTAATCCGTGTCATGACTGTTGCATCCTGATCCGCTGGGAATGACACCGCGTGCGGACCTGCTCAAAAGAGATCCAAGGATGTGCATGGATCCTACATAATTAAATGCTGGACCCGTGACTGTTCAGGAACTTCTGTCCAAAGTCCAGTCAAGATTGAACGGTGCAAAAATGAGCTGGGCACACCTGCAAACTTCCGTGTGGCACCAGTTCTGCTGTACCCAGCATTCTCCACTTATGGAAGAAGTGCCCTGGAAGATTCACAGGAAGGAGTTCGCATGGCTCCGGTGCAGCATTCGCTTTTGGCGTCTTCACGGCACAACTGACACTGCTCACCACCGCAGCCGCGACACTTGCTGTCGAAGCAGCTGTTCACCGCCTCCTCTTTGGAGTCTTTGCACATCTGTGGGGGATCAACGGAATGGTAGTGGTCGTCACAGCAGCCGGCGATGGTGTTCACATCCTCACGGCAGAGCTGGCATTGCTCACCACCACAGCCATGGCATTTGTTCTCGATGCAACTCTTCGCATCCTGTTCCCATGCGCACTGCAGGCCGGCGGCACCATAGAGCCCGTCGCAGGGATCCTTGGGTACGACTTCGGAAGCTTCGCAGGAAGGAGTTCGCATGGCTCCGGTGCAGCATTCGCTTTTGGCGTCTTCACGGCACAACTGACACTGCTCACCACCGCAGCCGCGACACTTGCTGTCGAAGCAGCTGTTCACCGCCTCCTCTTTGGAGTCTTTGCACATCTGTGGGGGATCAACGGAATGGTAGTGGTCGTCACAGCAGCCGGCGATGGTGTTCGCATCCTCACGGCAGAGCTGGCATTGCTCACCACCACAGCCATGGCATTTGTTCTCGATGCAACTCTTCGCATCCTGTTCCCATGCGCACTGCAGGCCAGCGGCACCATAGAGCCCGTCGCAGGGATCCTTGGGTACGACTTCGGAAGCTTCGCAGGAAGGAGTTCGCATGGCTCCGGTGCAGCATTCGCTTTTGGCGTCTTCACGGCACAACTGACACTGCTCACCACCACAGCCGCGACACTTGCTGTCGAAGCAGCTGTTCACCGCTTCCTCTTTGGAGTCTTTGCACATCTGTGGGGGATCAACGGAATGGTAGTGGTCGTCACAGCAGCCGGCGATGGTGTTCGCATCCTCACGGCAGAGCTGGCATTGCTCACCACCACAGCCATGGCATTTGTTCTCGATGCAACTCTTCGCATCCTGTTCCCATGCGCACTGCAGGCCAGCGGCACCATAGAGCCCGTCACAGGGATCCTTGGATTCGGCTTTGCACATGTCGATCCCTTCGGTTCCGGAGCAGCAAGAACTGAGCGTCGTGGCATCTTCTCGGCAGAGCTGACACTGTTCGCCTCCGCAGCCCCTGCAGATGGTGTCCATGCAAGATGACACACAAGCAGAAACTGTGTTTGTGTCTTCTCGGCAGAGCTGACACTGCTCACCACCACAGCCACGACACTTGGCTTCTATGCAATCGTGCACAGTCTCTGCTGAAACGAATGCCACCACCCAGCCGAGCACAAGAGCACGAGCCATGGTCTGAAATCGCGGCAAACACAAGCCAAGCGAGAAAATCTCCTGCACAAGCTTCTTGAGCCGTTTTCATGGTCCGATGCGAGCTTTTCTGCAGCTTCAACAAGGCATCCCAGTTAAAATTGACGTGGCTCTGTGCAGCTATGGGGGCGGAGGCATTTTCGATTCGGGGATGAGTCTGCAGACCGTGATCGATGACTTGATCAAAAAAAACACGAAGAAACTCCGGCGCCAGACCGAGTCCTGTGGGTCAAGGCTTCGCAAACCTTGGGGGCATCAGGGACCCCGTACGTTGGGATTGCTCGCGCCTTCAGGGCATGAAATTGCAGCTGACCCCGGTGTCCCGCCCGACTGTTGAAACTAAACTTATGCGAGCCTCTGGTAGCAAAGCTTTCAAGGCGATGAGGAAGAGCAGATGCCGAGCACGACTTCAGCCCGAAAAAGCACAACGTAGCTGGGCGTGCCACCCTTGCCCAGGCCAATCATTTTGGCTAAGCGCTCAAAGTCAGGTCGTGTCGGGGGGGGGGGGGGGGGGAATTGGGCGCGGGATGATGACTCAAATACCATGTGGGAAACATGCACTCGCATGCGCAGGCTTCTTTTCTGGTGCTTTAGTGCACGCTACAGTAGTTGCACATGGAGAGATCGCAGAGACAACACACACACACACACGCACGCACGCAGATATGACAAAGCTACTGTGACATGTCATGCACCGTAGCTTGATGTGGCTTGTCTGTCTCAGTGGTGCAGCAGTCCTCGAACTCATCGTCGAGCCAGACACCTAGCATGAGCTAGAGCTGGGATCTGATCAATCAGAGGCTTACTATACTTAGAGGATCATGGGATTAGTAAGTAGGTTATAACTGAGGTTATAAGTCCCCTAAGTGGGGTTATCCTAAGTATGTATAACCTACTTATGACCTTACTTACTAAGTCCCATGAGCCTTCAAGTAGGGGCCTTAATATTTAGAGTAGGGTTTGGGGGCCCGTTATACTACAATCATGATAAGGAACCCCCAAAATAGTATTGGTAATTATGAAGTAGAACCCTACTATAGATCCCTTTTAGACCCCTTTAAGGAACCCGCAAATGGTACTGGTAATTACTTAATGTTTGTGGTCCCTAGAGACTCCAACATCCCTTAACTAAGATTAAAGATACTGCTATAATGTGAAGTATACTCCGGAATTAAGGGATATTGGAGTCTCCGCAACGGACACAACGCTTCATGAAAGCCCGTAAGCCCCTAACAAGCAATTCTCCAAGATTAGCACCTGTGAAACCCAAGCCGACCCCGAAACCCTCAAAACCCAACGAAACCTTCCTAAACCCTAAACCCCAAAAGCCCTTGAAACCCAACCTTGAACCCCTAAAGCCCTAAATCTATGCAACCTCAAACACTAACACCCTCAGTCCCTAAACCCCTAAACCCCTAAAGCCCTAAACCCTAAACCCTAAAAGCCCTAAACCCTAAACCCCTGAACCCTAAACCCTAAAACCTGACCCTAAAGACCCTAAACCCTAGACCCTAAACCCTAAAAAACCCTAAACCCTAAACCCTAAAAACCCTAAAAACCCTAAAAACCCTAAAAACCCTAAAAGCCCTAAACCCTAAACCCTAAACCCTAAAAAACCCTAAACCCTAAACCCTAAAAACCCTAAACCCTAAACCCCTGAACCCCTGAACCCATGAAGCCCCAACGTCAACCCAAGCCTCCGCGACGAAGCTGGTGAGTCACCTGAACGAGGCAGAAAGGTTTAGGGTTTAGGGTAAAAGCCAGAAAGTTGGAATATGATTATCCTAACCCTTCTATGGTAAATTATAGGGTATCCTACCATGAAACCATAAATCCAACTTTCTGGAGTTCCCTGTAGGGCTTTGGGGCAACCCTAGGGTTCGGGTTTAGGGCTTCAGGTTCAGTTTTTGTTTGAGCCCCCTTTTTCAAAAAGGTTCAGCGTTCAGAATTTAGGGCTCGACTCAGGATTTAAGGTTCCTAAACCCTAAACCCTAAACCCTAAACCCTAAACCCTCTTCAGGGTTTAGGGCTTAGGGTACTGTAAGGGGGACTTTCAGGCTAGGGTCCCTGTAAAGGGTTCTCTAAAGGGCTCCTATAAGGCAGCCACGGTTTAGGGTTTAGGGTTTAGGGCATAGGGGGCCTATGTGGCTAGGGGTACTTAAAGGATCATGGGACTTAGTAACTAGGGTTATAAGTAAGTTATAACTAGGATAACCCCACTTAGGCGACTTATAACCCCAGCTATAACCTACTTATTAAGTCCCATGATCCTCCAAGTATGTGGCTAGGGGTACTATATGAAATCTACAAGGGATGTATATGGGATCTATAAGGGTATTATGAAGGGTACTACAAGGGAACCCTGATTGGATCACGGTTCGCAGAGGGTTTTCAGCCTTAATGGGTGTGATGGGATTCAAAAGCTCGAAGTATATTGGATTAGGGTTTAGGGCTTACTGTAGGGTTTTGGGATTAGGCTTTAGGGTTTCGGGTTTGGGGCATAGATTCTTGTGGGTTTAAGGTTTGGGGCTGCGGGTCTGGAGGGTTTGTGGGGTTTGTTCGAGCACCTAGGGATTTTGCCAAGGTGAGATTCGAAGCCTGCAGCAGCAGCGTGGTGCCGCTCTTTGGTGGCACGGCAACCACCACCTGGTCTCGTTGCTTCTGCACCCCGAAGTTCGAAGCGTCTTTATTAACTCTTCTACTGCCTGCTACCACCACCGCCCCCACCGGTGCTAGCGCGGAAGCACCATCAGCATCAACTTCCTTACCGTCGTCAGCATCACCATGAAGGCACTCATCAGCAGCACAATGGGCATCATCCCTACCAACATCAACAGTCAGCGCAGTGCTGTTGAACCTCATCGATACCTAGACCTACGAGTCTTGACTACTATGCCACTATGCCTTGTAACACTTCTGGTTTCGAATACCGGAATGGTTCTTGCAACAAGGTATGACAGCCAGAAGCCATGAGATTGATACTTGAAGGTTCGTAGGGTTTTGTGGTTTGAGATTTACCCCACACTCTTAGCTGATCCATACCCGGAGCCTTGATATGACCTATTTTGCTTACTGCTCGTAGCTGTCGTGGCTGCGATTCCTTTGATCTCGCACGGCACTGCTGTCTGCTCCTAGCTATCGTCGTAGCTGCGTGTCATCTGATCTCGCAGGGCACTGCTGTCACCACCCAGGCGCATTCTTCAGCTGATCCTGCACGGCCCTGCTGTCACCACCACCGAGGCCAGCATTGCCCCAGGTAACGACAGACCCATCCCCCAAGATCGCAGCAAAGGCAGCACCGCTTGCTTGAATCCGCTGTACAGTCCTCAGCCGATCTTGCACGCCACTGCTGTCACCACCGCAAGCAGGATGGCCCCAGGTCACAACGGAGCCATCCCCCAGTATCGCGGCAAAAGCAGAACGGGTTGCTTGAATCTGCTGCACGTTCGTCAGCTGATCTCGCACGCCACTGCTGTCACCACCAGAGACAGCAAGGCCCCAGGTCACAACGGAGCCATTTCCCAGGATCGCAGCGAAGGACAGAAAGGTTGCTTGAATTTGCTGCACGTTCTTCAGCTGATCTCGCACGGCACTGCTGTCACCACCATAACCAGCCCTGCCCCAGGTCACTACCGAGCCATCCTCGACGATCGCAGCGAAGGCATTCTGCGTTGCTTGAATCTGCCGCACATTCTTCAGCTGATCTTGCACAGCACTGCTATCACCACCGAAGTCAGCGCCACCCCAGGTCACGACGGAGCCATCCCGGAGGATCGCCGCAAAAGCCCCATCTGTCGCTTGAATCTGCTGCACATTCTTCATCTGATCTCGCACAGCACTGCTGTCACCCCCCCTTCCAGCACTGCCCCAAGTAACGACAGAGCCATCTTCCAGGATCGCAGCAAAGGCATACCTCGTTGCTTGAATCTGCAGCACATTCTTCAGCTGATCCTGCACGGCCCTGCTGTCACCACCACCGGGGCCAGCATTGCCCCAGGTGACGACAGAACCATCGCCAAGGATCGCAGCAAAGGCACATTCAGTTGCTTGGATCTGCTGCACATTCTTCAGCTGATCCTGAACGGCCCTGCTGTCACCACCACCTCGGCCGGCATTGCCCCAAGTGACGACGGAGCCATCCTCACGGACCGCAGCAAAGGCCTCATCAGTCGCTTGAATCTGCTGCACATTCTTCATTTGATCTCGCACAGCACTGCTCCTATTACTGGGACAACTGCCCCAGGTCACAACGGAGCCATCCATCAGGATCGCAGCAAATGCCACCGATGTTGCTTGAATCTGCTGCACATTCTTCAGCTGCTCTCGCACTTCTCTGCTGTCACCACCAGCGCTATCATCGCCCCAGGTCACCACGGAGCCATCGCCGAGAATCGCAGCAAAGGCCCGCTTTCCACAACATACATCGACCCTTCGAATCTGCAATGTTAGCGGCTCCTGAAATTGCAGCCTGGCCTTCTTCAGCGGCACTCCTCCATCAAGAACACTTCCAGTGGAGTCTACGAGTCGACCTTTGCCAGCTCCCAGGGCTTTCTGTGCCCGCACGCTCAGTGATTCCACGGATTCGTTCACGTGGGCCTGCAGCGACACAGTCTTGCCACTTATGAGGCTTACCTCAACCGTCAATGACATGCTGAAGACTCTCTATGGCCGACATGCCGAATGCCGTGTTGTGCCGGGCGGCATGCAAACCAGCAGACACTTCCTTGAGCCTTACACTAGCCTCTGACCCACGCTTGGGTTCGGAGATGATGTGCTTGAGGGCTTAGGGATTTACACCTGCGAGCTTTGAAACCCGGAGGATTGAGGGGACTATGATTTAGGTTTTGGGGTTTGGACTTGCCGAAACGAAGCCACCAATTAAAACACGAATCCAGATCCGAAATTCCGACCTCCTCCTTAATCGTCCAAACATTGGCTTCACGAAAACAGACCCTAAACTCTAAACCCTAAACCCCTAAACCCCTAAACCCTAAACCCCAAACCCCAAACCCAAAACCCCAAACCCCAAACCTCACCACAAACCCGAAACCCTACAACAACCACATGTTTCGGGTTCTTTATGATGACCTTCCTTCGATGTTTCGCTCTCGAGGTCGGTGTGTTGGGGTGAAGGTACCATTATGTATCATTGGGGCCTTGATACTTAGACGGTTCCTTAAAGGGGTCTATAAGGGTTCTATAGTCGGGTTCTATGGTATAAGGGCCTTAATAATTGCCTACACCATTTTGGTGGGTTCCTTACTAGAATTATAATATCACGGGCCTGGAAACCCTGTTCTAATTATTAGAGCCCCTACACCATCGAACCCTACTATAGATCCCTTATAGACCCCTTTAGGGAACCCTGTTCTAGTTATTAAGGCCCCTCTTTCTTAGAGTCTGGGGTTCAAGGCCGCGCGTGCCCCCACCAAAACGAAAGCTCTGAACGCTGAACCGGGCCACCAGAAAGGTAGAGGCTTGCATGTTATAGGGGCCTTAATACTTAGAACAGGGCTTCCTTAAAAGGGTTCCTTTAAAAGGGTCTATAAGGAGTCTATAGTAGGGTTCTATAATATAGGGGCCTCGATAAGGGGCCTTAGTAATTTGCTTAGGGCTCTTTTAAAGAGTTCCTTAAAGCGGTCCATAAGGAATCTACAGTAGAGTAGGCTTGCATATTACAGCGGCCCTCATAATTAGAATAGGGCTTGGGGCCCTCATAATATAAACACAAGGGGAACCCTCGAAATGATATAGGTAGTCCCCCCTCCAATTCAACCGCTGGCACCCTCAATTTCCTTCTGTGCTCTTGTAAGAGTAAGGACAGAGAAATTGGAACCGTTATGATTCCTGGACGAAACAAGGCACCCAACAAGCATCATTATCATCGTCATCCTCACCAGCAGCACCACATATCATGCCTCATCTTTCTGCTGCGCGACCGCCATCAACCGCATCGAGAGCACTACTACCAGTTACTGCCATTGCCGTGACCACGACCATATCCACGACCACGATGCCATCACCACCAACCACCAACCACCACCACCACCACCACCACCACCACCACCACCACCACCACCACCACCACCACCACCACCACCACCACCACCACCACCACCACCACCACCAAGAACACTAACCACGCCATCACCAGCATCACCACCACCATCATCTCTCATCTTCTTTGTGGTCATCGTCGGCATTCACACGATCTCAATATGTTTCTGCAATCTCCGTCGCAGCAAAGAAAACACGAACGGGAGTAATTATTTCAGCCCCTACATTACCTCAAAGCTGGGCAAGCTGCATCTTGTGGCCGTGGCTTCCACTGCCGCCGCAGCTGCTCGCCAGCCAGCGTCTCCACTTGGCCGGCGAGCCTCGGTTTTAGGGTTTAGGGTTTAGGGTTTATAGAAATTGCTAAGGCTCAAGTGAAAGCTCGAAGTCTCGTTTCCGACGTCCTTCCCCAGGCAACTGGAGAAGCCCAAACAAACAACACGGATGCGTAACACCCGGCGTCTCACAACCTGGACCCAGACCCCCAGGAGGATCTAGAAAGTAGATCCTCTAATTTGGGGCCCTATACTACTAAGGGTACTTTCTAGGAACCCCCATTAAGGGATCTACTTTTTGGATCCTTTCAGGGGGTCTGGGGAACCTAAAGCAGCTCAGCGAGCGGCGGCCGGAGCTTCAGGAAGAACTCGAGCCTCTCGGCCGAAATGGGAGTTTCCGAAAATATGGGTACCTTAGGGTTCCTTTAAAGGGTTACTATAAGGGGTACTATAAGGGTTCCTTTAAAGGGCTCTATAAGGGTTTAAAGTTTCCGAAAATTAGGGGATACCTTATTTTGGGGTAAGGATCCTACTATTTAGGGTACTATATTAAGGTCCCCTATTTTCGGAAACTCCCAAATAGTATTCTTGTTCTTGCTAGTTGCGCTGCTCCTGCAGCTAATCTTGTGCGTAGTGTGCTTATGAGCACGATTACTACTACGATTACGGCGACGCAGAAGTCCCTTTGCCAAGCATGTTCTCAAACCCTAAAACCCTCAAGGCTCCAGTCCCAAATGCTAGGAAGGGCCGGCAGTAATATAGGGGTCTTAAAAAGTAGAATAGGGTTTTGGGGCCCATTATACTATAATTTTCTTGAAGGAACCCCCAAAATAATGCAGGCCGATATTACGGCAGCAGCCTCCATGGCACTGCCTTGAGGCACTGCCAAGGTCCGAGGGAACACCTGTGGCTCAGGGCTCTTGCGCTGAGGGTTTCAATACCTTAGCCCTGAATCACCTACCTTTTTAGGGCTCCTCACTATGATTTCCTTAAGTGAGTCCTTAAAAAGGTTGGTTATTCCGGGTTAAGCTAGGGCTTAAAGTTTCATTGTTTGGCGTCAGGCGAGGGTCTTCATACTGAGAACAAGGCTTTGGGGTATATTGTAGTATAGCTAGATTAGCAACTCCAGGCAATATGTGTGCATTACTGCTAGTTTGCACTAGCTATTCCGAGTATACTAAGCAGGATCCATGTCGCTCGACACCTGCACTTGCATGTCGCCATGCTCTGAGCAAACCCGAGAGTCTCCCTTTTATGGTTCAGGGTCTAGGGCTTAGCTAGGTTCCTGAGTAGCCCCTTCATAATAAGGGTATCCTTTCTCTGCTAATGTATTCAGCTTTAATAAGGGGACCCGAACAGAAACAAGGCAAATGTGTACTGCCATGCAAGGACCCCCACAAGTCAAGCCGCTGTGGGAAGAATTTACTCAAACCCAGAGGGGCTGTTCATCACTGTCGTTCCGACTTTCTGTCGGACAGAATGCCGGCAGAAACCTTTAGATCCTGAACCGTAAACTGAATCCTCAAACACCGTAAACTCAAGCCCCTCATAGACTCCCCCCCTCCAAAAAACAAGAGTGCAGATTTTAAGACTCAAGAGCCCAAACCCCTGAACCCTCAACCGCCAGACTTCCTTTCATATTGATGGCTTTGAACACGGCAACAACGCCTATCTGCTCTTTCCCGGACCTAGTGTGGGGTCTAGGCATTGCCAGACGGCACAGTGGAAATTAAGCGGCTCACGGTTTGTTCGCATTAGGTCATAGGCATAATTCATCCCACAGTCAGGAACCATTCATCTGCGACTGGCGGACATGGCCAGCACAGCCGAGTGCTCGTCTGTCGTGACATAGCGCGCCTGTCCCGACTCGGGTTTAGGGTTTTGGCCCTCAACCATACTTTGCGTGGCTGGGGCTTCCGCACATCTGAGCGATTGCTTGTGCATATGTTGGTACATGTCTCTCCTTTAAGTCGTTGGTTTCTTCCATTCTTATGTGCCCATGTATTTGCTTGTTGTTTAGTTTTGTATTTATGTATTTGCGGCTGGTCCTTCTCAGCTATTTGCGGCTTTGGGCTAGGGTTTTGGGGTCTCAGAGGTCGTTCTCAGAGCCGTTGCAACATGTGCAAGAACCGGTTCAGGGTTTAGCATGCTTTAGAGTTTGGCTCAAAGCCTGCTGTTGCTGTGGAATCCTGAACAGTTACATTGAGGCTGTGAGAGTGGTCAGGAATACTAGCCTAGGACCTATACCCTAAACCCTGAACTCTGAGACCCTTAAGCCTCAAACCCTGACAATCTGTGGAAATTCATGTCCCACACAGGGGAAGGCTTCAATGGGCCATGTTGCGGCGCTTTTACACGCAAAGGCCTTTTGAGGCTTTGAGGTTTACAGCTTCCGGGGGGTGGGGATCCTTAGGTCCCGGCTTTGGGAATTTTATTGGGGGCTCCCCTATCAAGTTCTAGGACTCAGGGCTTTTTTGGGGGGACACCTCTGAGCACCACCTGGCGCAAAAGAAGGGAGTGAAGCACTAGTAGATCTCCCAAACCACAAACTCCTCATCTTAGTTGCCGAGTTCCCCAGCCCCAAAAAGTTTACACTTTCAGTTTTCTAGTGGGTAATGTTATCCCAAAAAGTGTTAAGTGTATCCACTCAGCTACTAGGTCATTCCCCACCCCTGCCCTCGACCTTCACTGCAAACGCTGCTGCCGCCAGTACCGGCGCCGCAGCAGCGGCGCGGTGCATAATCGAGCTCAACAGAAGCTTTCGCGTATGACTTCTTGAAGCTTGCATAGAGTGCCATGGCTCTCAAGTTTGCAGGCTTGATTGCCTCGTATGTAGAAATGTTGCTGGAGTGTCCACCATGGAGGCTGGGTTTCTCCGGGTTGGTGTTGGGGAGGTTTGGAATCGTGCTTTCTCGTCGAGCTTTCGCGCGAAGGGGTTGGAGCGATGAGCGATGCTGTGTACGCGTTGGCACGGACATGTGAGCTTCGAACTTGAGGGCGAACTCGAGGCTTGGCAGAGCTCCAGGACCCTCTACCCCAAGCTTCATCAGGCATGCACTGTCGCTGTTCGCGAAGGTCGGCCGGGTGTCGGGCGGATGGCTTCCGGTGTATTTTGATCGAGGCATCGGAGATCCATGTTGCCGAAGGACCTAAGGTTTAGGGTTTAGGGTATAGGGTTTATGGCTGCTGACCCAGAGAGCCCAATACCCCTTAATTAAGGAATATAGCTTGAATTATAGTAGGATCCCTAATATGATTTAAGGAATATTCCTTAATTAAGGGATATTGGGCTCTCTGATGACGAATGCCCGTACTGCCATGATCACTCCTACTGTCCGCACCGAGACTACGGGCATCGAGGCATGAGATGATCGGGGACAGTCTTACCTTTGGTATTAGTAGGGAATGGAAGAATAGGGTTCCTTTAAAGGGGTCTATAAGGGCTACTATAACTACCATAAGGGTTAGTTTTGATTAGTATGGAATGGAAGAATGGTAGTAATAGTAGTTATAATTGGTACCCCATTCCTCCATTCCCTACTAGCCCAAGGTAAGGGTTGTGGGTGGATGAAGAGTCGCCCACCCAGCGATCATCTCCAGAATCCGCCGGACGTTCAGGGTGTTGGCGACCACGACGATCTGCTGCTCCTGCAGATGGGTTCAAGGGTTCTCACTGAAACCCCGAAACACGAAAAAATCAGGCAACGATCTACCCAGAGAGCCCAATACCCCTGAATTAAGGAATATACCTTACATGATAAGAGGCTTAATATTATGGTTTAAGCTCTGGTTCCTTACTTAAGGGTATTAGAATCCCCGAAACCCTAAACCCTATAGATCCCTTAAAGGAACCCTAGGTATTCCTTACTTAAGGGGTGTGGGGCTCTCGGGGTATCTCACATCGAGAGGGCCTCCCAAGGCTCCGAGCCGGCTACCGGATCTTCTCCATCCCAAGGCTCTAGATTTTAGGGTTTTGGCCCCACCTTTAGGCACGATAAGGGTTCCTGCAAGGGTACTGTGAGGGTTTAGAGTTTAGGGATTCTTAATGTTTGTGGTCGATGGCTCAATTGGAGTAGGATTTTGGGGCCCATTATACTGTAACTATAATAAGGAATCCCCAAAATAGTATAGGTAATTATTAAGGCCCTTAATGTTTGTGGTCGGTGGCTCTCCTGAAGCTGGAAGTAGAGCTGGATCAGGGCTTTCCTTGTCGCGCGGCGGCGGATGCTTCCACGTGAATCGGGGTCTGGGGGTTTAGGGTTTAGGGGCCGAAGCCGCAAATCTCCAGGGTCCACGGCCTAGGGTCTAAGCATCTGTTCTCCGGCCCGTGATAATTGGAGTGGGCTTTTGGGTGCCGAGCTGCCGTAGATGGTAAGTTATGCAAGGACTTGCGGAGGTATGCTCACCAACTCTTCTATGGGTGGTTGTCAAAATGATGGTCCACTTCTGGGTCCCTATTATAATCCGGCACCTAATGTTTAGGGTACCCCAAGAAGGGGGCCCTAATTTTGACAACTACCCCCAATTTTATCTGGGCACGACTTTGAATCTTGGACTGGGTCTCCGGTCTAAGGCCTAGGACGAATGCGAGCCTAAACCCTGAACCCTCCAGGTTCCTGCGTAGGCCCTTTATAAAAGAAGGGTTTAGGGCTTAGGGCTTAGGGTTCAGGGTTTAGGGTCTAGGCCTTTATTGGGGTTCCTTCTATGAACCCTACTATTTTGCTATAGGCCCAGGGTTTCTTAATCAGGTTCCTACATTGCCCCTTTTTTCTGGTATTCAGTTTTAACAAAGGGGCCCTGAAACACAAAGGCAAAAGGGTACTACTAAGGAACCTAGGGTTTGTAGCTTTGGCATAGGGCTTGCAGCGTTTGGAGTTGCAGTGAGCACTGGGGTTTCAGGACAGTTACGAGGAAACCTTCTCGTACTACTCAAGAACCTAGCCCTACAGTTGAAGTCGGACTTTGCAACCCTGAAACCCAAGCCTCAGTTCCCAGACGTCGGCGGCTTGATTGGTTTTAGGTTGAGGGTTTAAGGGTTCCTTCAAGGTTCTAACCTAAAAACCCCACTTACTAAGTCCCATGAACGTTTAAGTAGGACCTCAGGCGAAGCGTTTTAAAGCAACCCGGTGGCAGCCGCTGCAGCTTTGCATCCCGCTCTTCGATCACCTCCTGCAAAGACGGCTGGCTGTAATCAGTCTTCGATTCGGATTTAGGGCTTAAAGCGTTGCGGGGTTTAGGGCTTAGGGCTTAAAGGGCTTAGGGTTTAGGGTTTAAGGTTTAGGGGTTCAGGATTTAGGATTTAGGAGTTAAAGCGACGAACTAAGAACCTAATTAGGGCTCACGCTGAGCGTTGAACGACCGCCTTGTCAACCATCGCAGATATTATGCTCTACATGACGACGACCTATACGATGCATAACGATATACATCGATATGACGCACATATCACTTATAAAAGCTGAAAACCTTGAATCGACCGCAAAGACACCCTTATGAAACCCTGTATATACCTATATACCAGTTTTGTGGTAAGTCAGCAGAAACTTCGAACAAAACCCCCAAGCTGTCAAATTCTAAACCCTAAACCCCTAAACCCTTAAGGCCTACCCTAGACCCAAAACCATACAATCCTAAGCCCCTAAACCCCTACACCCTATAGATCCCTTCAAGGAACCCTTAAAGTAAAGAAACCCCTTAAACCCCTGAAACCTATAGATCCCTTACAGGAACCCTTAAAGGGTCCCTGAAAAAAACCCTTACAGCAGCCCTTTAAAGGAACCCCCTTCAAGGAACCCCCAAAACCCCCTCTTATTGCGGGCTCCAGGTGGTGCTCGACGACTTCCAGGCTGGCCAGGAGCTGCGGGTCCAGCCAAGGCTTTCCCTGAAGGATGTTTTGGTCCAATAAGGGGCTCTGCGTGGGGGTTTGATCTCGATTATGTTGCTGCTCTCCCCACCAGAGCTGTAATGAATATAGGTGTGGCTGGCTTGCACTCTCCACAGACTGGGACCCTGTCTCTCTCTCACTTCCACGCGTGCAATCCTATGCAGGCAGAACCGGCGGCCGTTCCTTTTGCACTCGCTGCCGGCGGCGGTTCGTCTGTGCACGGGATAGCTCTGATTGCTCAGGATAGAAGACACATATAGCACTTAGCTATGGGCATTGACTTGAGCCAAACGTTGCGTGGGCGGTCACATAGAAAGGTAAGGAGAAGCGATGCGGTGTGCGTAGCACGTCCACAAGCTTACTCCTAGAGTCGAGGGACGCGTAGCGTGCCCCCTTCTCTTGCACTCTACACGGTCTTGCTCACAGCTCTTATAGTGACACCTTAGAACTTGACAAGGCATCGCAGTCCGTTCGCACCCCCCATGAGTTGCGTCTCCGACGCTGCTCACCCGGAAGATGGCACGATAGGACAACAGAAAATGTTCCGCCGCAACGTTGACATTGAAAATCAGAGCTTTGCATCCCAATTAGAAACGTTGTGACACTCATCTACGTCAGTAACGATCCCCTGAAATGGCAAACGAATCAGGCGTCACCGAAGAAAGAAGCATTCGCGATGGCATTCCACGGGCGAAGCTCAGAGGTCACGAACTGAAAGATGATGTGGTTCAAGCATTGTCTCGCCACCATCTTCGCGTTGACGTAGGATCGCGGTCCCAGGGCCGGAGGTTCTCCTCTGGATACGGGTCCCTTTGCTTTCCTTTGTCCTTGCCTTTGTTTCGGCCCTTACTGGCAATGTAGTCATGGTAGGTGTTGGTGTTCCAGCCTCCATGCTGCTCATTTCCAGTTCTCTCACGCCCTTTTGAAGGTCCCTTGGCCGAAGAAGCGCTTGCACGTTCCTCCGTAGTGACAGGCGTGTCCATGATGGAAGTACCACCTGGAGGGAGATACTCAGCGGCCGAGATGTGATGTAGGGCTTCAGTACGTTTGGTTGTCGGATTTTGCTGTCTCTCAGCCTTGGATCTGACCAATCTGTCCATGAAATGCGCAGGCATTTGCACATTGTGGTCCACCAGCAATCCAATGGTCTGGACTGAATGATCGGCATGAGTCAGCAGGATACCGACGGGGTCGATGTACAGGAAGTCCACCGGTCCAGTTGGCGTTGGTCGTAGCACTGAGAATTGTTGGTGTCCTGTCACCATCGGAATCACCTCGCACAGGACGTTCAGGCAACAGAAGTGCATAGCCTTCACATCTTCATCCCTGTTGCTCTTCAAGTACGTAGTAGGGTTGAAGTTGTCCCTGCCAATTCCCATCATGTTGGCTCCCCGTGTAAGCAACGAAAGCATCTGATTCGTCCGGAAGCGCTTCAAAGTGTAAGTCCCGTTGGGATCGTACTGCTTGAGGTTCTCAGGCTCCTTGGCAAAGCGAATGATCTCCTCGTCAGTCACATCCCTGCTCACACCCGTTTCTCTGTCCACTCCAGCCAAAGATCCCCACTTTCCGAGCACATCATAGCGTTGGCCAAGTGCGAAATTCTGCTTCATCTGGAACAACGGCATAGTCGCCCACTTCGCGAATCCTGACCAAGCCTTGTAGATGGTTCTGCACACCACGAATGCCATATACGAAAGAGCGGCCATGTTGGCGTCAATGCAATGGGCATTTCGCTTTCCTGGGTAGTAGGATGGCTGCATGGCGGTACGTGCGAGTTGTAGTTCAGGATCGATGTTCAAAGACTGGCCGGCGATGAGGACGGGACGTCGTTCCTGTGCAACTGCATCTGGTACTGCGTCATCAAAGTCCTCTCC